TAGTGATTCATGGGAAGAATGTGTGTTTAAAAAATAAGAAGAATTTTTGGGTTTATGTGTAATATTATTTTATTGATAGAATGTGTGGTTGAAATGAAGAAAGAGAAAAAAAATGAGAAAGAGAATGGATGTCAAACAGGGGCATAATCCTAATATCATGTATGATACAATTCCATAATTCCATGTAGCATTTCCAATTGAAGTCGCAGTTCCTCAATAGAATCCTTCTTACATTTATCTAGTTCACTAAAAAATAGAATTCTTGAGAACATATTTCTAATATCAGTTGACATCTTATTTGATAAGTTGGGGAATTATGTGGAGCACTTCCCTGTATTCCATTCAGTACATCTCAGAAAGTCTCACCTGCTCCAACCCCTTTAAATTTGTAAATTTGCATGAGTCAACTTTAACATCAAATAGAAGTTAATAATCATTTTAATTTACTAATCACAGAAAAAGCCATTAATCTCAATGGTTACATGAGCAGGAAAACAACTGGCTACCTCGTAGTTTATTGAGAACTCTTAAGTTCGAGAGCAGTAAGAAATGAAATAAGAGATAAACCCCAGCGCATCCATTATGAATAATGGCAGTACTGATATAAATCGTATCATCTTATTCTTCTCTTTTTTTGGTGGACTGATACACGCTAAGAAGAGATTCAATTGAATGTAGGCACGTCAATATTTATAAAATAAAGGCTAAAAATGTGAAGTAGAATCATGTCAACCACTGTGTCTACCACAGTATGACTAATATTCTTGCCTCTCGGAGTATAGAACATTCAGAAATTTTAGGTCAGGCAGCTCATTTGATTGGTTAAGGGATAAAGAAAAAGGGATGTATTCTTCACAGTGGTTACTTAAAAGAAATAGCTACTATCTCAGAGAGCAGTTAGAGAAAAGATAGAGAATTATAACTTTTTCACTACGACTACATGACAGAGAGAAGATCAATAAAAGGTATCTTTCAATTCAATAAAGTAACTCATCAACCTTATTCAATCCCAATAATATGAAACAAAAAAATACAAAGAGATAAAACATTCTTTAAGTTATTTGATTCGAAGTCGCAGATTCTATCTACTACCAATGAAAACAAAAACAGGTAAATTTCAGATTAGAAAATCCTTAATTTGTTTTATAATTTGAATGCAAGTAAATTATAAACCAAGACAGCAATGATTCTCATAAAAAGGAAGTGAAGTAAAAAAAAAATTTTTTAAAAAATCAATTTTTAATCAAAATGCAACAATCAAGCTCGATCAAAAATAGCATTTTTTGCACTAAAAATCAAGTTATGAACTCACAGCAGCTGCGAAAAATGTCTTGTCACCGATCTCCGACAGAACAGTCATCGCCAGTGACTTCGTAAACCCCTAATCAGTTCCCAAACAAAAAGCCCAAAGATAAATAACTAATCAACCCAAATAAATTGAAAAAAAAAAAAAACCAATAGCGGCAAAGAATAATACTTGAACAATGGAGAGACCCATCTTATGAAGGAGGAGTCTAAATTTTTGGGGAGTTGAAGAAGCTGTTTTACAGTGAGAGATGATCTATATAATGCAGTATATATAGGGACCGAGTTAAAGGTCGGGACTGAGTTTGACTCGGTGGTGATAGGGCGAGTCAGTGGGTAGAGAATCAGTACTATTCTGTATCCGTAAGAGTTAAAAGAGACGAGTGCCCCTAGTTTAATAGTTAAGAGCGCGTGTTGCCATGAGATACTATGACATAAGCATATGACTTTTTTTATATGACTTAAAAATCTAATTAAAATTAATAATTAATTTTAATCACATGAACTCGTAATTTTTCAACCACACGTTCAATTAACTTTCTTCAAAATTTATTAAAAATTTAATTTTAATCTCTACAAAAATGG